TGTTTGTGGTTCTGCCTTGAATTTATTACACACGCACACGAAAAGTAGACGCTGGTTAATACAGATTTAGTTAATTAATTTGAATTCGCGTGCATGGTAAACAGTAAATTGTCTACGCAACGTTTTAATTAGATTACCAAAATATGCTTCACCGAAACTAAGCCAAGAACAACAGTTATAGCCGTAGACAATTAAATTGTTTGCCTGCTACTTAAGTTTGTGAAACACCTACACACTTAACATTCAGTTCCGGACGAGTAACGCACTCGTTCATACATATGTACATATATTTATATATTTGTGTAGAAAAGTCAGAGATAGAGGACACGTACGAGTAAGCCAACTGTTATTTTTGTCTAACAGGAAGCTTGACATTGAGACACGGCCGACAAAGACAGCGGGCACACAGCGCGTATGAGTTATGTCGCCGAGCATTGCCCTCCAGTAGCTGCCATAGTAGAAATTATGCTAGCGCGCCAAAAATATATGGAAACAACACGAACATGTTGCAGGTTGCCTGAACGCTAATTTGTACGGCTGCTGTCCGTGGCCGAGATTTTATGAATGAAACCGCTTGCGACTTGTTCTGTGCCAACAAGTTCGAATGCCCCGGCTTAGCGACTCGTGTCTTGCGTGAAGCGCCGTCAACAGTTCGTAACGAACAACCGAACTGAACGGAACGGAACGGATCGTCAGTTGCCAGCAGCACTCGATGTGGCGCAGCGGTAGTCGAGTCGGCTGTCAGTGATATGCAACAGTAAACGCGCCAACTTCAGGCCATATTGAAGTTGGTAACAAGAGCGGACCCAGTGATAAGATAAGATTTTGCAGAGTGCCAATCAAGAAGTGAAAGTTGTCAATAAAAGTTGTGCGTTAAATAAGATTTTAAGGAGTTGTATTTTGTTTAATAAGTGTTACAAATAAAGAGTTTTTAAATGATAAAAGTATACTCAATATTAATCAATATCTAAAAAGATATATTATACCTAAAATTGTGGCAGTTCATTGCATACAATTAAATACCGAACTTATTAAAGGCGTTAATACGTTTGCTGTAATTTCACTTATTAAAAACTAAAAAAAAAACATATATACAATAATAATATCCTGATTAAATAAACGGCTTAAAAATAGTTTAAAGGCAAGTGGCTTAAAGGCTTTAATGATTTCCATTTAAAATATGTGTTCTTATTTTAATTATTAAATGTTATGTGTTGTGCGTGTGTGTGTACTATGTTCGATTTTGTGGCTTTTCAGTGCTCGAATTAAATTTGCCTTTGCTACGCAGATGAAGTCAAACGAAACAAATTGTGCAAATATTCCTGAAACACAAAATTTTAGGTCTTTGATACGCATATGTCAATAATTATAAGCGAATAGATATTCTCATGATATCCAAAAGTAAATGTATAATGACATGTTAATATTTGAATTGAAAACACACGCAGCTTCAGCATGATCTAATACCAGTAATACTTTTAAAGTAATGTACGTACTACTTATGTATGTGTAATATGTGTGAGCCTGTGTGCGCGATTCTTTGTGCTTTTAATATGTGTGTGTGCATGCATGTGCGTGTATATGTGTGTTTATGCGAAGCGGGACAACTGTGCAAACAAGCCGCAGTTTCGGCTTAGTTAGACAAAGCCAAAAAGCAAGAAATACATATAGCCGAGAACAAGAGCAAATAAATGAGCAGCATGTGTATTAAAATTAAAAAGAAGCTAAAATGACTTTGTCAGTCCGCTGACAGTCAGACGGTATCGTCTGTTTTTCAAAGAGTCTTTCACAAGCATCATTTCTTTCAGTGTGCCTGACGGCCGGGTGTGTTAATTCTTGTCGGAGCCGCGGAAGCACAAACAACTGACGGTCCTTCATCGGCTTGAACTTTTATGAACTTGTATTCCAATTAGAAAACAGAAGCCCACTAACAAAACAAAAAACGAACAAGTATTTCAAGCGAATTCAATCTCAGTTAACGCGCAAAGTTTTTTTCAGGTAAAAAAGTAATATACAAGTCTGAACGACCTATGCAAAGTTGCCCTGCGCCGAATGCCTTTCATTTGCTCATTCGTATATAATGGTATAAATGTACTCACAAGTACTTATAAAAATTATTATAAATACATTAAGTGTAAATAGACACTTGTGCCTGCCCTTGCAACACACACGCAAATTCTTTGGGCACAAAATCCTATGAATGGTTTTATTAAACGTCAAAGTTCAACTTAAATAATTGAAATTTTATTGGCATATATCCACATATAAATTTCTTATTATCGAATTACGCAAACAATTAAACTATAATGTCGCAAGTTCAATCTTTAAGCTAAGCTAGGACAAGAACATAGCTATATAACTTTGACCGATTTTTTATGCTATAGGCTAAATTTAAGAATTGCGGACTCTGGGATTGATGTAGTTGCGGGTTGGATAAGCTTTGGACAAATTTTTGGGTATCGGGCTGAAAATTGATAATCAGACATCGCTGTAAGTGTTGGCCATTGTCAAAAACTTTGTCTTCACAGTTTATCATATAGTATAATCATTTTAAATGTCCCGCGGCTAATCCATTAAGAATGCCAAGAAAATTTCAACTGCCTACGGCGCAATCTGAAAACTTGTCGAACAGTTGACTGCGTCGCCTTTTGGTTGCTTGACTTGGTTGATTACAACAAAGGAACGCCTCGTTTTAATTATTTCCGATGGACTGTCAGGAAATGTGATGCGTATACGCAGTGTGTGACAGTTTCGGCCAAAGGAACTGCAGCCCCACAAACAATGGTAATTTTATGCCTTCTGTTTCGCGTGCTGATTAATTAATGACGAATGCTTTTTTGTACACTTTCATCACGTAATGAATAAAACGAGCATGATAACGGCCCCCAAGATAGTCACTTTTCTGCTCTGAATAAACGCGTAGATGTCGAAGACAAAGATTTGGCAAGTTGCTCGCTTGGAAGACACCATCTTCGAACCAAGCGTCACTCTTAATTGGGGCATGCTTAGTTATTAAGCCAGTTTTTGTTCAGAGCGCCTTTTAATGATTTAAGTCCTTTCAGTGTCCTGGCAATAAGCCTGCTTAAAAACCAAGCAGCCACCCCCTTTGCCAAGGGTCGTCTAGACACTTGACAGCAATAAGTTTCGAAGCGTTGGTGTTCCAGGGCCTTCAATTTCGGACACACCATATGCAAATCAATCAAAGCCATCCCCACCAATGCTTACGACCAATTGCCTCGATGCATGTGAGGCTCAACCTCTCAAAAGATGACCCCGGGGCTCATGTGTATTCCATTTTGGCTGCGCGGCTGTCTCGATCAATCAAATGCGCATTTGTATATTAATCGCGTTGATTAAGCGCCCAAAGAATTGAAAACTTTTTCCAACCAAGCAAGCGGGCAACCTACGCTGAGTGACAATAAAGGCTATTTTGCACTTATATGTGTACGTCTGTATGTGTGTGTGTATGCACTTGTTTGGCATTTAAAAATATAACAGCTTGTACCATGAGCGATTAAATGCCAATTGCTGAATCCAGCAGTGCAATCAACTAGCAATATAAACAAATGCTTGCGTACATTAGCTAGTAATTAAAATTCAATCGAGTTCGGCCAATTATAGAGAGCCAATAGTAAACCAAACAAAATTTATTTTCCGGCCTGTTTGTAAAGCAACCATTATATAACTAAAACTGTGGTATTGAAATAAATGCGGCAGAGCCAGAGTAAAATTCTGTCAATGCATAATGCGTGCACACATTGCGTATGCTTAATTTTTTAAGTAAAAACAAAAAAACTATTGTTAGCTTTTGTTTATTCTGCTGCAATGGTTTTGAAATTTGTATGTTTTCGTATTTTTCATTACCAAGCCGCTGGTAAAATAACAAGCCCATCTGACCCATCGGGTTCAGTTTAATTTATGTTCATAAATTATTTGTGAAAATGAAATTTTATGGAATTTTACTTTGAACTTGCACTGTTAATCGACGCGTCGCCATGCACCGGCAATGCCACTGAAACAAGCGAAGCAAAGTTACACAGCCGTCCGTCTGGTGTCTTGGTCGTCGCGTCGTATCTATTAAAGCTAATTCGCGGGCTTTGGACTGAAATTCCCGGTAGCCGAGCTTAATCGAAATTGGTCGCACCAAACGACTCAGAGCTGCCGGCAATAGCCACAGCCAAGCGGCATTAACCACTTTTACTTAACGAACGGCTTTGTAATTACTCCCGTTTAATTGTGTGTGGCAAAGGTCAACTACGGCATCGATGCTGCAATATTACATATTCAAATTGCTTGCATTGGCATTAAATTGCCTGGAAAGTAAGGTCAATCAAGAGTGTGCAAATTGATGTTAAGCTACTAAAGGGGGGGTCATTTGCATTTGCATTATAATCTAAGAAATAGTTTATGTTACCTGTTGTGCGGTTAAGTTTGTCTTTACTGTAACATTACCTCTGCTTTGAAGCTTACAAAAATATAAAAATCCATTTCTAGATTTAAAACTCGACAGTTATTTTTGGAATTTGTATTCTGATACCTGGAAAGACAAACAGTGACAGTGTCAATCCTTTAATTCCTAACAGTTTATCAAAAATTCTATAGCCTGTAATATTACCTGTGCTTTTAAGCTCACTGGCAAAAATATAAATTTGCATTTTTAGACTTAAAACTCAACAGCTATTTTTGGAATTTGTATTATGTTTCCTGGAAAGACAAACGTTAAGTGAATGAATCGTTTAATTCCTAACAATTTATCAGAAATAGCATAGCCCTGGGTTCAATTCATGCACTAGCAGAAACAAGAGCTTCGTTTCATTTGAAGTAAGGAGCTTATCTCGTTTCTAGATAGTATGTAATTATGTGTGTTTTTTTGTGAATGCTGCTGATAACAAAACATGCACAATTTATGTTTCTCGTATTTGATGTGTGGAAATAACTCAATCAGAACGTTTTTCCAGTGTAGTAACTATTTATATAAAATTTCATTCTGTCATTTGCAGATTAATTCTAACTGTACCAAATAAAATGGGTTACCATCAACACAAATTTCGAATTTAAAGTAAATACCGAAAGATAATTGTCAACATGCAAACTGGTTAATGTGAATACGAGAGCGAAGCCGCAATACCACCGAAGCTACTTAGCCCGCACAGCAGAAATAGAAGTTGTATATATCTAAATATATAGCTAATAATGGAGGGGCTTGAGGATATAGCTCATGCACGGCTGCCTGTTGGCAACACTACCGTTCCCATCCATTCGGATCTGCTGGATAATGCATACAACGAAACGGATAGCAACTGGTCCACAGTGGCGAATTTTACACGACTCATCATTGCAGCCGCTTCGGAAGTTGCGCCCAACATTGCAAACTACACGCTCAACATGCTGGACGTAGGCATTGCGCTGGCCACAGAAGCCACCAACGCTGAATCTGCGACCAGTACTGCGATGCCCGGCAGCAACAGGGGCACAGAGGCTGCTTATGCGATTATGACAAACTCACGCTTGAATAGCTCAACGCTCGGTCACATCAATAGTCTGCACGAGCTGTCGCCGGTGGCGGAGCAAGTGCCGGAGCATGTAATGGACCATGCGCCACAGCTCTCCCGCTCCGGACTGCTGAAGGTTTATGTGCTGACAGTGATGGCACTCTTCTCATTGCTGGGCAATCTGCTTACCATCTGGAATATATACAAGACTCGCATCACTCGGCGCAATTCCCGCCACACCTGGAGCGCCATCTACTCGTTAATGTTTCATTTGTCGATTGCTGATGTTCTGGTCACCGGATTTTGCCTTATTGGCGAGGCAGCCTGGTGCTACACGGTGCAATGGTTGGCCAACGAGTTGACGTGCAAACTTGTGAAGTTGTTCCAAATGTTCAGCCTCTACCTATCGACTTATGTGCTGGTGCTGATTGGCGTCGACCGCTGGATAGCAGTCAAGTATCCGATGAAGTCGCTCAACATGGCCAAGCGTTGCCATCGTCTGCTCGGCGGCACCTACATCCTATCGCTGGTGCTCAGCCTGCCTCAGGTATGTGCCCATTTGGCTTATCTAGCTCTGAATACCAAAACCAAAACCAATTCCAAATCCAAATCAATTCAAATTGATTTTGTGCACATTCCCTATAGTGTTTGTTCTTTATCCGGCGCTTTCAAAACATTCCACCCGCTAAACAATTGCTAACTTATGCGGCAATTTGTCGCCTGCCATTAAGTCAAGCACGAGTCGCAGGCCAAAGGCAACGTTTGGCCCGCAGGCGGATGCTCTGTGAGCTCTTGCCCCGCCTCCATATGCGTGCCAAAGTTGGACTAATATGTTTGCTTTATGGCACGCATACGCCCCGTGGCAGCGCGCGTAGTCCGAAGAAGGCGTCGGTGCGTGCTTTGGCATTAAAAGTGATTGCCTGCTGCCTGAGAGTTTGCTAAACGTTGCTTTGGGTATCGGCACACGTGCTCCGCCGAGTCCACATATTGAGTGCACAAAATTCGGCCCTTCCGATCGTGTGTGCTGTGCGGCTGGCAAATAAACTTTGTGCATAAAGGGTTGGCCAATACGAGTGGGTCCTGACCGGGATACTGGCGCTGACGACAGGCATGAGATATTTATCTTTTCGGCATACTTTTCAACATTCCGGCAGTCAGTTTGCTCTCCTGTTTATCTGCTCGGGTCCTTTTGCTCATCTTTAATCATAACAGCACAACAAAAAAAAACAACAACAGAAGCGGAAAAACAAACATGTTTGACCATTTTCTTTTCTTTTATTTTGTTATTGCTGTAATTCTTTATTTTCACACTTTTATTGCATTATTTATGTGGTATGCCTGGTCTTGTGTCGCTTGATTGCATATCTAATTGAGTTGGCCGGCAAATTTATGGCCCACTGGCATTTTAATAGCCTTTGAATCTGCAAACGATATACCACGATCCGCAGATTAGTAAGGCATTCATTTCAGTCATGCGAGTTGATTGCTTGCCATGTCATAAAGGATTTCGAAACATTTATAACAGTCTATCTGAAAGCCATTATCTAATGTCCAGTCCAAAGTTCATGACAGTTGCCAACAGGGCTGCAAGCTGAAAAATCAAAATGTAATATTGCAATTTTTAATTTATTTCACTATAAAGTTTTTTATTTTTTACAAAAACATTTTTTATAAAAATATGATTGGGTTCTAGATTCGGCTGAGTTGTTTCATATGTTTCTGGCTTGCCTTAAAATATATAGTAGAAATTCGAGCTTTAGGCTTAAACCGATTCGGTTCAAATCAATTTGTAGACCTTCATGCCAGGGAAATATCATATAAGTAATATAATTTAACCGTATCAAGTGTGTCGATAATTTAACAAAGTGGGTCCAGAAGTTGGCAGAATTTAATTGTTTAGCAGCAGACTGTATTTTTTGTTTATTGAGTGGATTAAATGGAAACTGTGCGCAACAATTGAAATTTCAACCGAAATTTCGCTCTCAAAATTTAGTGAAACAATAGTTGTCACTTTCCTGCAAAGGATGATTGCAATTGTATGAGTGGAGCATGGGGGTTTTTAGTATATAAAAAAGCTCTTGTTTCATCATATATTCCTATAGGAATAAATTGGATGCCATTTGTTTCACTATTAAACATGCGCACAGCAAAGGGAATTCAATGCATCGTAAATAAGAGTATAGAAACTGTTGGAGTTGTATGAAATTAATAAATGCGAAGTTTCAGCATTGGAATTCGGCGCAATTGTACGAGAATGTTGGAGTGTAACTTTATCTAATAGTATCCAAGCACTTGAATAAATATGTATTTTATGCGATAATACTTAATGGCAAATCAACAGACAACTTATGTTTACTTGAAGTACGAAATTAGCAATCATGTGGAGGAGCAACTTTTTCTTTGTGGGGGAGCTCTGGAATGGTTTGCTGTGCGTATCCTTACGGTACTTGACGTCTTTGGGCACCCTTAACCGTTAACCGTTATTCAACACTGAGATTGATGCAAAAGCAGTGCAGTAACAAACACACCTAGGCAAAAGTTTTAGCAAGGCATGACCTTCTCCATTTTGGAAAGTGCCGTCAGGCAATCTGCATATGGATGTGGGAGGACTTTGCATATTCTCTGTGCTCCAGATGTTTGAAATGCATTCTGTATCTCGTTAGATAGTTGCATTGTTGGTGCGTGGCTTATTTCAAAATTAGCATATTGCGAGAACATTGCGCACCGCGCATCGCGTATTGAAAACATTTCATTCAGCTGCAGCGCTGAAAAGCATGCTATGCTTTGTATAATTAACCAAAATGCGGCTCGAGGCTAGCATAGGAAGCCATACATATCCGTTCACGTTATCTCTAACCAAATACCAGATGTATGTGAGGCGCAATGTAAAGAGGAGCGATTATGTTTGCATATAATTAGGCGGCAGGGCGAAATGCGTGGGCACATTACACATTTAAATGTGACAACAAATATTAAGAATAATTACATTTTTATGTTTTTGGGACTTGCGGCATAAATGCCAAATCTGCTCAGAGATTATGCATATGCTGAATAAATATACACACTCGTATGTGTGACAGCTCTGGGACTGCTTTTAAAACGTGACAACAGCACCTTGTAAACTTGCCTTGTTTACCGACCACAGCAACACCCACATAAACACACACACACACAGACACACACACTATTAAAGCACATGTGGCAATTATGACACTTTTCATGCCACAATGTTGCCTGCGGGTTGCCTGCCACAAGAGAGTTAGCCTCATCGAATATGCCACATAAAACTCATGCGACATTAAAACGTGACACTTGGCACTGCGTCTATTTGAGTTTTGACGCCATTTGCCACTCGACTATTGCATAATTTGAAAAAGTTCATTCCGCAATAAATTCCACACACACACTTCTCCACGTTTGCCTCATTTCATTGGAGAACTCACGCACTCACTGCCATAATCAATAGCCATCGAATCAAATTCAATATGTGATGCCCGCTTCTCCAATTCACGCGTCTCAAATAATAAAACAAAATGAAAATTTACTTTCACTGCCAATAAACAACAAATGTTGATCCCCGTCCCAGCAGCTGTGCGTATGCGTGTGCTTTTCTTCTTCCTAAGTTTTTCCTTTACGTTTATGCGTACGTCTCCCATCTTTTATTACACTATGCAACAGCATTTCGTCTTACGTCCGCAACTCTAGGGCTTTTCATTTAGGACGAACTTTACGTTACAAAAATGAAATTCGAGCAAAATTTACGTTATTGGCACATTTTCACTTTTTGCATAAACATACAATATATGTAAGTAGATATGTGTGGGTGTGTGTGTGTGTGCTTGTAAGAGGGAGAGCGTAAATAAGACTGACAGGTTGACTTTAATACTTAAATTCTTCTTCATTAACTATAATTTTAACAAAACATAAATCTAGATATATTTATATATATAAATGATCTGTCGCTAAGTCTATTTCACGTGCTAGATAGAATCTTTTATTTGCCTGTCAGCATTATTCTTTTTTTTGGCACAACGTGTCGCTCAATTGCTTGGAAGTTATAAATGTGCGAAATTAATAAAAATCAGTCTTAATACCGCTGCCCACCCACGTTCCTTTAGTGTTTTAGTTTTACTACTTCGTCCTTTTGCTCGCGACAGCTGTTCTAGCCAACCATAAAATGCGTAAATAAAAAGACTTTTAATGCATTAGTTATAATCACAACTAGGTCCCATGGCCAGCCAGCCATGAACGCACTTAAGCTAGATTTACAAGGAAATTCCTTGTTAAACTACGTGATTTTTTTTAGAGTGCATAACTTTGAGCTGTTCAAAACAGACTTTGCTTCTTGCACAAATTGTGCAAGGAACATTGTACTATGAAAGACAGCATAATAGTTAGTAAGAACATTGCAGTCAGGAGTTGGATGCTGAAAGCTCTCAAAAATCCAGTTTGACTCTTGAACAAACATTTTACATCATCTACGGCTCTTTATATATATACATATATTAAATTCAGGTACTCGAATGTCGTGCAAATACAACTTGTTACCATTTGAATAACACATTATTATCCAAATGCATATTCTCTATGGCTGTTAACCTAATGAGGTTAATGAATAATTGATGAATCGGTCAATCTAAACAGTGTGAAAAATGCAAATTACCTATGTGGCTTAAAGGCCTTGGCCGTCGGCATGTGAAAGCCTACAGGGAACACAAATTTAAAAATGAAATACCCATAGCTAACTCAGGGTTGGGACTCGGAAATCACATATTCAAAAATACAAATATATATTACAAACCTACTTTTATATCCGTTTTTACACTCTGCTCTTTGATTTAATATTGGTATATTGGGTTTGAGCAGGCTTTATGCGTTTATGCGTATGAAAGGAATATTTATTGATGCTATTGAAGTCTGTATCTTTAAACAGGGCAAATAAACTCCCCGACTTCAAAATTTCATAAAATGTATAACTATTTCTAGTCACTTTTTCTAATTTTATTCTTTGGGATGATACTTGTAAAGTTACTAGAATCCTTTTAAGAAGTCTCTCCTCGAGCTTTGTTCATGTTCTTACACTGTTAAAATAGTATTACAAAGGCGGTGCTTTATTTTTTGGGCCCATTTAGCAAAGCAGATAAAAATATTCAATCACAAAAAGAAAAATAGCTATCGCATGTTTATACTTTTGTGCTACCGAATTTTAATCAAACTGCTTTTGCCATCTTTTTAACGCCTCTCTTCCCGCCTCTGTCAATTGATATTCGGCGCTCTGGCATCCGCCACCCGGCACACGATACCCGCAGTTCTTCATATTCCATGTGGCACGCGGCCCCTTTGTCGAGGAGTTCTACCAGTGTGTAACGCACGGCTTCTACACCGCCGTGTGGCAGGAGCAGATGTATGCCACCTTCACGCTGGTCTTCACCTTCTTGCTGCCGCTGTGCATACTTTTCGGTAAATGAACACATGTTGTTGCTGAAGATGAGCTGTCCATCTGATTGCTAATGTAATGCAAAAAATTTAAATATTTCAGGCACCTACATGTCAACATTTCGAACCATCTCAAGTAAGTGGACGTCCAAATGGGCATGCATGAATGTTGGCCATCTTGAGGAGAACAATGTTAATGCGACTTGGTATTTCTCGTTTATCCTTTCACCTTCTCAGGCAGCGAAAAAATGTTCCAAGGCTCCAAATTGGCCAACTATTCGACAACGAAGCAGCTGCCTACACAGACGAACCGGCAGCGCTTAATACACAAGGCCAAAATGAAATCCCTGCGCATATCTGTGGTGATCATTATCGCGTTCCTTATTTGCTGGACACCCTACTACGTAATGATGATTATCTTCATGTTCTGGAATCCAGACAAAAGGGTAAGTATGCGAATGCGAAAGCAATTGCCTGGGCCAGGGTCACTTCTGGCCAAAAGCTGGCAAAGGTTATTACTCTTGTAGATTTGCGTTAATGCTTCCTGTTCCGTCCGTGTTTGTTAGACAAAAGACAAAGATACACATTAAGCGTAAGCAGCTTCGTCACGCATAAGCCTTTATATATCCCAGTACAGATTGGGTCTGACCCAGTTCTTGCACTCAGTACAGTACAGTAGTACAATATGCGTTAGGTTGAAAATTCAAATTTAACTTTGCCCCGACTAAGAGGATGGTAGAAAATGCTGTGGCTTACGTTTCTTTCACGTACATTGCATGCAGCGCAAATGCTGCGAAGGCATTTCAGAAATTTTGAAGGCACATCAATCAGCAGTCGATCTCTCTGCACCATTGACTGCGAGTGGCTTGGGGAGGTTGCTTTGACGCGTTTTATATGACAGCGTGTGCCAGCTTGTGGAAAATTAAATGAACATTTTACTGGAAAATACACGAAAAGGGGCTGCAACACAATTGATTCAGTCAGCAGCTGTTCTCAAATCCTTTTTTATGGCTACATTTTTCCGTCTTTTTCTGTGCTGTGCTGTACCCCAGCGTGGGGCCCAGAGCACATAAGTATAATTTTTTATGCCCGATTTTTAATTAATGGCTTGGGCATACGGCCTAGTCCTGCGGGTTGTTGACTTGGTTACGGCTGACCGTAAAAGCGTGCAGCATAAGGTATTACGACTGTGACCAGATAATGAAAGCCCCAAAAAGGTAACGCTAACAGCCGTCCAAGCTGCGGCATGCCTCAAAAGACTTGGACACGCTAAGACGGGCAAGTTGCGAAAGCGGCAAACAATAAGAAACTCACAAACGTATTGACATATTGAAATCCTTGAAATTAATTTGAATATTATTGGTTTACTTGCAGCTGGGCGATGATTTACAGGATGCGATTTTCTTTTTTGGAATGTCCAACAGCCTCGTTAACCCGCTCATCTACGGCGCCTTTCATCTCTGCCCCGGTAAGAGCAACAAATCCGGAACTGGCGGCGGCAATAACAATGCATACAGCTTAAACAGGTAGATGCTCTTTGTACTGCACGCTAATCTCGGATTATTGCAATATTTTACTACTTATAGAGGTGACTCACAGCGCACCCCATCAATGCTGACGGCCGTGACGCAAGTGGATGCGGCTGGTGGCAGTGCTCGGCAAATGCGCACCTTCCGGCAGCAGAGCTATTACCGTAGTTCGAGCAATGGTACAGCTGGCGGACCCTTCAAGGAGCAGGTGGGCCTATTGCAGGTGGGCGGTGCAGGCGGCAGCGGTGCCACACCTCATATGATGAGAAAGAGCTCCTCCGTGCGCAGCCCACATCCGAATCACAGCTCAGCCATAGCTACGCGGCACTCGGGCTGCCTAAGGGAACAGGAGGAGCTACTACTCCAGACAAAGCCCTCTACGCTAGTGCTCAATTACGATAGTCAGCGCGGCGGCGTTGGAGTGGGCGTGGCCAATGGAAACAAACTTATGACAGGTGCAAGCCTCCGGGTGGACAATAAAGAGTGTGTGTCCAGTGTGTGAGCAGAGCTGGCGGCGATGGTGACGGTAGAGGCACAGGTAGGTGCGACAATGCGCGCAGTGGAGGATGCTTGCTCCTGCTGCCGTTGCCTGAGCCAGGAGCTAGTGCGGCGCCAACAGGGACTCCTAGAGTCGCCCAGCACGGCCGCCGCACACTAAACCAGTATAAGCTGCTGTGAAATTTACAGTTAAAACGCGGCCACTTTGCGTGATACGCGACTCCGACTCTTCCAGTGCTCATGAGGTTGTTCGAAAGATTGCTTTGCCAGCGGGGCATAGCAAAGCAAGACAAGGCAGGGCGGGGCGGGGCAGGGCAGGGTGTTGCCGATGATCAGATCATCGAGCCATGCAACATTTGATTAGTGTAACTAACTGAGAATTAAGTCTTTGAACAGTGTTCGTGTGGATAGTCGTAATTGTAGGCTTAGTTGAATATGGCTGAGCATTAGCCAAGTGTAGGGCATAAGCAGAGCAGCTGACAATTAATTGGCCAAGAGCTGCGAGCCGGTTCACGACTATATTTACATATTAAATTATGCATATGCTTATGTATATGTATATATCTGTGTGAGGCGGAGTCTTAATGTAAATTTGATGATATTTTAATCGCCATAAAGCTCAGTTGCGAGTTCATTTGAAATGCGGGAAAAACACGTTCTCATCCGATGGCCATTTACATACATATATGTCAGTTTAATTAAACACTAAATCGCAATATACTATAAGCAGCATCAAGTGCTACCTAGATGGACATGGAACAGGACTCCACACAGACTACTCAATTAGCCGTAATTTTATTGTGAGTTTGAGCTACCCGCATTAACGCAAAAACTGTAATCCATACAGGTTAATTACATCGACTAAATCCCCATAATACTTAAGAAACGTGTACTTAACTTTTCTGTGTATGCTTACCCTGCATATACATATATATGTACATACCTGCACACACAAACTTATATATGAGGATATGTTCGAAATTGTGCACAGCAAAAAAAAAGAGCAAAAACAGATTTCAACGAAATTGACCGCAGGACAACATGCTTGAAAGCTCAAAAACAGCCACGGAGACTCTTATGCATTCCCAATTAAACTCATGTTTGTTTATAAATGTGTGTGTGTGTGTGTGTTTGTATGTACATCATCTATTCATCTCTTTCTATGTGTGTATTTGTACATGTTAGATACCCTCTGTAAAATTTGTATAGTTTATTTTTTAATAAAAACGAAACGAGAGCATTGCAACAAATTTACGAGCCAACTTTTACGCACCACGCACAACTCAACACGTTGATGAACTGGCGCTCGGAATCCGGCCTATGCCTATGCCTATGCCTATGACAATGCCTGTGCTTAGCCTCGTAAATCCGGCACAACTCAAACCCATCGACAGTATATGCTAGCCAGGCATATTACACTTTTTATGCACAGCTTCGCAATTCGGTGTTGGGCGGAGCCATCTGCACCCCAACCCACACCCGCACCCACGCCCAGCTGCGACAACTCACCCTCTCCCTGCCCGATATTTAGCGGTGCGCTACATATTTTATAACTGCAGAGTTCGTGTTCAAATGCAAAACAAAACGTCGGGCAACGACCAAAGGAATCTGCTTCACTGCGCCCAAATATGTGCTACGAAATTTTTGTTTAGCTGCTGCTGAAAAAAAAAGCGACGTCGGAACCAATTTACCAACATAATGGAAAACGTGGCTAGCTGGCGGGTGAATGGGGCTGTGGGGCATTTAATGGTTGACCAAAGTTTGTTTTTATTGGTGCGCACTGTAAACTCTCCGGGAGGTCCACCGGACACACTGTGGTGCCCACGTTCACATCGGCTCGGACACAATTATGCACAGGCAGACGACCAAACTCGGCGACACGTCCATCATTTGATGGCACGATATTTTACCAAATAATTCCCTAAATAGGCATCTGCTTGGCATTTAGACACCGCGTCGGCAATTGTCTGCTCGTGAATTTAAATTCGAATGTCATAAAGTGCACAGCATGAGTGTGCGACTGCTTTGTTTCAGCCTCACGTTCGCTTCCCACAATTCAGAGTGACAGAGTCCCATCATGGCGAAGGAACTCTGATATGTAAAGCATTTCGATTACCCACCCTGGTTTAATGATGATTTAATGGTTTGACCTGGCAAAGGAGATCTATTGGCTCTGTGCATCAGTTAAAGTGGAACAGTTTAACAAAAACACAGAACACAAACCAGAAACAAGTTCAAGATTTTTGTCGATAATTATTGAAAGCTCGTAAAACGAAAGATTAAATGGAGCGCACAGGAGACTCACTAAGGCAGATAGATATCCATTTAATAATAATAATGCATGAGTAAGGTTCCCTGTTACAACACATCTTCTGACCTTGGCCTAAAATCATTTCCATCCCACAATCAGCCTTTTATAATACAATTCGCAACGATTAATGCCATTCATGCGTAGACCAATAATGATTTCGTAGCTCATCAAAACAAAAACATAAAAGCGTACACATAAAGGTTAGATGCCTGGTATTCATTGGGCGAACCAAACGGCGGAAACCCCCAAGTGACTCATCAAAAATTTATGAGCTGTACATAAACTAAATAGATTGCATATGTACAAGTATGCCTTCATTATATAAAAAGTCCTATAACATATTCCATAAAAGCCTGTCAGTCAGCGGCCGCCATTTGCCAGGTCTAAAAAATAAGAACAAACTATTTGGTTTTTTCTAAATAATCGTATATTCAATCAAATTTCTTGTTTTTAACAGATTTTCACTTAGATGTAGGTCAGACATATAGACAATTCAATGTACATCGCGAAGTGTAAAGTTTCTTAGACATGGGAACCCGGCTTAATGTATAATTCGTACCATAGAGAGCGCCACCTTTATCTCGTGCTTACCACCGCCTCCTTGCGTGCCGCGTCCTGCAGCAGCTGTGTATCCACCTCGTCGCCGGGCAGCTGCACATAGCGCACGACAGAGCCGCGGATGAAACAGTTTTTGACGCTCAGCATGTGCGGGTATTTGTCGGGATCTGTGACGCTGATGTCTGTCAGTTTTATGTTAAGGTACTGATCAACGGAGTGCAGCGTGCCGCAAATGCTGAAAATATGCCGGTATTAGTTACATTTTTACGTACTGACACGCGCCAAAAGCGCAACTTACCTTAGGTCATTTTTCAGCTCGACCACAACTTCTTTGCCCACGAGAGATTTGAAGAACGAATAAAAGAGCTGTAAGGAGATTGGATTTGTTGGTTAAATATTCTCATTGTTATTTATTATATGCTTACCATTGCAAATGAAATGGTTTTATATTGTTTATTAATGCTGCTTCTTCTTGCGTTTTGCACAGTTGTTTCACAACACTGATAGCGATAGTTTCATCTGTGGGCACCCAAAAACTTTAACATTTGATGAAGTGCTGTTAACACCGCGCACTTATTTGCTGCAATTTAAAATTTGTTAGATGTTTTAAGTAGTTACTGAAGCTTAAGATGGGATTTCTTACTAAATTTAAATATATAATTTTAATACAATATGTTCACTTTCGACTTTGTTAAGTTAGTGGATTGTCTAAACAATTAAATAACTTATAAATAAGACACTTCGTGCTAACAGCGCCAAGCTGTGAAGAATATTGTAACACTCTTTATGCAAGCATTTGGTCGATAGTTTTCGATACCCTACTGTCACCGTCCACAAAATTCCATCAGCTGTTAAATTGCTGCGCTTAGCGGCTAACATTAGTTTATCGAATGGCCGCCACAATTTGGTTGGTAGCATCAATTGCCCTCTATTGGCCAGTATACAAACATCGACTGTAACGTGTCGCTTTTGTTAGGTGAAAAGCTTTGAAAACATCGCCGCCGATAGAGAGCGCCACAAATATTGTGGAAAAATTCAACACTGAGCTCTGAAAGTAACTCATCAGGAGAAAAGCTGTTTGCCTATCTTAAAGAGCAACGAATCAGTATATATGCAAATTAATCCAATTGGAAAAATTAGTCCAGTTTCGAAATGTATATCATATTTTTACTAAGATATTTATACCCAGCTGTTTAAACTGCACTTGCTAATATATAATTTATTGATGTTTTAATTAAAATTACATTTTTATAACAATTTTTGGTTCTAAAACTATTTACAAACATAGGCTCACATTGATTTTATCTTTCGGTTTCTCTACTTATGTACTTAGTTCGAACTAACAATAAATTATGCATTACGTGTCGTTTATATCGCTGTAATGCAATTTTCTTAAAACTTCGTTTAGCTTAAAAATCACATTTGATCATTTTTACTTAAAATCTCAACTTTCCCAAAAAAAGCCAACTGGCGAAATGACTTAGTTGCCGTTAACTAAGGAGTTACAGTGCCTACCAACATGCTCCTTACCGGAGCCCGCAACTCTAACGCTAATAAATTCGTCTGGATACGACTCTGTCTGTGTCCGTGTCCGTGTTCGGGTCCGGCGTTTAGTGGTCCGAGCTGAAGTACGAATTCTGCATGAGATACAGCTTGTCGATGGGATTGATAAGGCTCGTATTCAGATTGGCCAGCATATCGTGCGGATTCGAGTGCTGATTGTGATTTCCCGACGAACTGGTCGACTGCAGCTCCAGATTGTTCAGGGATAGCGAGTCGGCGTCGTCATCCAGCTGGTCAAAGTTGCTGCCATCCAGCGAGAGGTCTGAGCTGCAGAAGCTGTCATTCGAATTGGCTGGATAGTCTGTTTTGTAGAAAATAATTACTGCATTAGTTGAATTAAACAAAAGTAGAATTGTGCTGAGATCTACGCACCATCCGGTGAGAAGGGCAAATTCGGATTCAGCGGCTGACTGGCAAATGCGCTGTCCATGCCGCTCAGGAAGCCGCCCACATTGTCTACGCCATGCTCCTGTTTCACGCACTTCTCCTCCTTCTCGCTGGCGTCCTTGTCATCTGAGGCGCCGGCACTGCTGTTGCCACGCCCATTGCCGGAGCCGCCCGCAGTGCCGCCATTCTGTTTCGCCTTGCGCTGTATTTTCTTCATCTTGGCCCGCTGATTTTGGAACCAGACCTGCACCACACGCACGGATAGACCCGTGTCCTTGGCCAACGCCTCGCGTACCTTGCGGCACGGCTTGGGCGACTGATCGAACGAGGCTTTGAACTGTTTGCGCTGTTGAGAAGTCAGTATGGTACGCGGTCGCTTCGGGCCGCGCCGGCCATCCCGTGGCCGCAATAGATCCTCCTCGTCCAGGCCAACAAAGCCGCAGTGCTGTGCGGCTGCAGCCGCCAGAAACATCTCCTTCTCCAGATCGTGGCGATAGCAGAAGAGCTGGCCGTCCCGCAGCATGAACTGTTCGCCCTTCTGGAGCGGCAGACGGCAGGCGTAGCACACGAAGCAGGGCAGATGGAATACATAGTTGGGTATGGGCCGCATCACAAGCTCCTGCGGCAATATGGCATGACAGCAAGCGGCGCACTTGACCCCAAACAGCCGATCGTAGTCCAGCTTACAGTAGAGCTTCGAGTTGCGCACGTAGCAAGTGTGGTGCAGCTGCATGCCGCAGTAGCAGCAGGCCAGGCACTGCTCGTGCCAGTTGGCATCGCCCACGTTCATCAGATAGCGGTCGTGGATCTTCTGGCCGCAGCCCTCGCACAGCTCATAGTTCTTCTCGCACTTGATGTGGCCCACTTCTGCGAGGTAGCGAAAAAAAAGAGCGAACAGTAAAAATGCTTGTTAGTGAGTGATAAAATCGATTTGTTAGCCCACTGTACGCCCAAAAAAAAAAAAAAAAACGGATCCCCTACGTGCTGTCAGCATATGTTGCAGAAGGAGGACAACAGGCATGAAGGATGAAGGTGGGGGCGGAGAATGAAGTATGAAGTACGAAGGCGAGTACGTTGTCAAATCGTGTGAAAATGTTTTTGTCCCGTCTGCTGTTGTGCTTATGCTCATTGTTTCGCACTTCTGGCTCCTGGCAGTCAAAAGTGTTTCCAAACAAAGCAAAAACAAAAAAAAAAATTATCTGTCGCCGTCGCCGGCTGTAACAGCTTGTATTGATAGCTCCTTGATGCGTAATTGAAACGTAAAGTTTGCTACAATTGTGCGAGTCTGAAATTGATGAGCCCAAAGGCCAATAGAAGCGCACTTTCAATTGAAGCGGGCTGCCGAAAGCTGTTGCAAGGATTTACCTTGGATGTGGCACACGATTAGTCCAAGCTTGAAAATTAGCAAGGCGCTCGCTGAGCCTTTTTCAAGACTGACTCACTGCAAATACACGCAGCCTAGCCCGTACTACAGTGTTAACAATATGTCGACCGCTGTATTTGAGAAAAAAAAGAACAAGATAATCTAAGTAATCTAGGGAGCACTTATTTAAAGGCTTTATATCAAATCAAATACCGTCTAGTTCTAGCTAGCTAGCTAGCCAGCTAAAGATTAATATGTGTGTATGTCTAACTCGACTAATCTGTGCACATGCATGCACACTTGAAACTGTAAACCAGTCATAAAAAGTAGTACCCCGAAAAAACACTCTAACACACACAGCAGAAGCTGCTGTAAACATAAAAAAGGCAAAATGACGAGCGCCATGAGAATTGGATGGCAGCAACTGAAAAATGAATAACAGGGTGGGACGGGGCGGGTGGCAGGCGGCGCTGCTCCCATATTATATGACTGTGGCTCACGGGCAGCAAAAATGTGCATGATTTATGGCTGGCACAATGGTAGCCCCTCCCTGATCTATGCATATTTATGTGCTTATGTGTGTGTGCGTGTATATGTTTGGGAGCTAAGCGAGCAGCCAAAACAGCTTAAACCCAATACTCATGGCTGTGCAGCTGCCTGTGTTGTGTGTGCTAAGCCAGCGCAGCGTAAAGTTGACAAGAGGAAGAGCAGTGGGAGCAGCATGAGAAGCGGGAGCAGGCAGCAGCCCTGATGATGACTATGGATGGGTATAGCTGTTGGCATATCGCTTGATATAAAGCGCGCCCTCAAAAGTATGCTATAAAAAGCAGCTGCATTGGTCTAAACGTGTGTGTGCGTGCGTGCCTGTATGGATACATATGTCGAATCGCATTGTGATAACGCGAAAATATTGCTGCGGAAAAGTTTTAGGCTAGTGTTTGGGCAAGCTGCACAGGATCATTTGATAAGTCCCGGTTTTGAATTGGCAATTTCTTTGTTTTTCTTTTTTTCAGTCTCCTGTGACTATTGTGAATGCGATATTGTGTGGGGAATTGTCTTTTTGTGGTGCCAAACCATTGACATTTCGCTTTGTGTAATCTAATCGGAATTTATGGCCTTTTGTTGCAGTTTTATGGAGCGGCATTTTTTCGTTTTGTTGCAGCCAAAAGTCAAAAGGCAAATGGACAATTTCTGTGTGTGCTTGACGCATTTGCGAAATGTGATGATACGAGCTATGCATATGAGATATACAATTTGAAATGTGTATTTATCGTTGTTCGCATTCAATAAATGTACAATTGGCAGCGCAACAGAAGTCTGCCGCGGGGCTGCCGATTGATTAGCCGTCGCCTTGATCAGGCCCAACTTGTCGGAATACAAACGCAAACACAGCTAAAACAAGTGCGGCGCACTCATGTCAAATGTGCGCGATTAAACAGCAGATAATTCCCAAAATCAACACGCCGATAAACCTAGGCACCCATAAACATATACAAACAGTTAATAGACAACAGCACCCAAACGCTCTTATCAGCTGTGATCGCGTTATCATTCCTGTGGCTTATCAACGAAACGAACGGCGTCTCTGATTAGGACAGAGGCAGGCAGTAGAGCTCATCCCCCAATCCACCGTTGGCCAAGCTTTATGGCGCACTTATTGACACATTGACAGGCGAGCGCAGCTCTATGATGATAAATTGACAGGCAGCCAAAGTTGTGGCATAAATTTTGGGCTCAAGTCGCAGCCAAATAGTCCACGTGGCACGGAGATTTTGGCAGACAGCTTGTGACAGCTCATGATACGATGGCTTTAATTACAGCGGCCGCAATTTAAAGCCCCGCACAGCCACCGTCTAGTGAAAGTGGCAAAGCTATGCATATGGAGGATATGCCACATATAGTGATATATGTGTGTGTGTGTGTGTGGGTTTTTGTATTTATATGTATTAACTCAGTTGCACAGACAGTGCCAAGCTGAACGCACCGCAGCAAGCAGATATGCCGAGACACACGGCGCATAGCTGGGGCGGGCTGCAGACAGCAGGTTGCAGGCTGCATGTGGCAGGCTGTTGGCTGTTGAGCGTTGAGTGTGTTCATTTCCGAGCATAGGTCGCCAAAACGCTGAGGCAGCCACAAATGCCATGAAATTCCTCGCCCATTTGCAGCTGATGGTGCTGCAGTGGGTTTTGGTGTTTCGGGCTGGGTT